TCTTTAATCTGCTCCACCTCAGTCTACCTCCAAACAGTCACCGTGCTCCACAACACGCCCTGGTTCACTTGGTGCTCGCTGTGCCGAGTAACATAATCTTCTCCACCTCAAGTGCGTCCTCCATTATTCCCCCGCCGCTCGCCTCCGTCAGATGCGCCTGCGGTTCAGGTGATAATTGGCCCGGCGAAGCGATCGGCCTGCTCACTGAATAACAGCTCAGAGCTCAAGTTTCTGACGCGTCTGTTTGGACGTTTGGCACCAAAAGACTGAACCTCTGTCCAACATCTTTGTTTTCCTGCCTGCACCCTCTCCTCCTATCTTGCTGTTATAATAGGTGGTTTTCTACGCTGACTGATTCGGTTTGATTTGCTGCTTCAGAGCATCCAGACTCTGAGGCAGCGGCAGCTTTCTACTCGAGTTAACTTTTCACTGGCTTCTTTTCATGTTTCCCATTGAGCCAAAAGTGGCAGAACTGCATTCCATCATCACCAGCACTGTGTGGGCCACTTCTGACTGAGATAAAGCTCCAAAGATCAAGTCAGCTGTAAAAAACAATGTTGGTTTATGTTACGTAAAGGCAGCACAGAGGGTTGACTGGTGTGAAGCCTTGATTAGAACTGCTTGGATCCCTTTTAGCACCTTTTTTTTTTTGGCACAAACTGGATGCATCTGGGGTGAAAATGAAAGCTGCAGCGGTTCCATGGAAACAGCAGGAGTCCGTTTACTGTCACCACGTACGTGCCAACCAGTTCAACTCTTCAGCTTTGTGTTGACAAGCTTTCTTTCCTTCACATGCAGCTCTGGTGTTGCCCAAAGCCGAGCAGCTCCTCCACTCCAGCGTCCAGCCCTACATCAGCTCCATCCTGGAGGCCCTGATGGAGCCCACCAGCCGAGGCTTCTCCGAGGTCAGGGACGTGTTCTTCAGGGAGCTGGTGGAGATCAGCAAGAACTCCATCAACGGAGGAGGCAAAGAAAAACTCGGAGAAGTGAGTCACGTCTTTGAATTGTGTGACTTTTAATGACATAATTGAAGCGAAAGGCATGCATCGGTCTTAATTTAGAAGTCGGGGAGTGTCCTCGGCTGCATGGTAACAGCCAGCTGTTCCTTCCCCGCAGCACATGGAGAGGCTCTCCATGCTCGCCTTCCACCCGGTCAAGATGCAGAGCTGCTACGAGAAGGTGGAGGAGCTCAACCTGGAGGGTCTGCAGCAGAGGTTCGACGTCTCCAACCCGTCGGTGTTCATCAGCAGGGCTCAGATCCTCATGAGGGAGGTGAGATGCTGCAACCTTTATATTTCACATGACACAAGGAATCAGAACATACGGCAGCAGCAGCAGGATGCTGCCACCTGCTGGACAAACAGAGTATTTGTAAAGTGGCTGAAGCTGAGACGTGGATGACTGTCACACAAAGCATGTGCTCCTCTATGACACTTTTTTTCTTCTTTTGCTTTGACAGCAAATGGACAATGCCGTGTACACATTTGAACAGCTGCTCAACCAGTCTTTAGAAGCTCAGGGAGAAGAGAACATGTGCAAGACCATCCAGCGATGCCAGGACAGAGTCCTCAAGGTAAAACAACCACGGACAAATCATCTGGCCAGATGTGTCCTGTGTGTGCTGTAAAATCCTGTAAAACAAACCCCAAAAATCTCAGTCCCTGTGGATCTGCCTCCACCTCATGACAATAAAGGTTAATTAAACTTTAATCGTGTTGCTCAAAGCACTGAATGCAGATATTTCAGTGTGAACCGGTGGTCAAATTAACTTCATTTTATTCACGTCTAAAGGGAGACTGAGGTTGCAGCAGGAATATAATTCCCTCATTAAACCTGATATGTATGTTTCTGGTCTTTCCTGTCAGAAATACGATTACGACAGCAGCACCGTGCGCAAGAAGTTCTTCAGAGAAGCTCTGCTGCAGATCATCATCCCCTACATGCTGCAGCAGCTCTCGCCGTCCTGCTCGCCTGTAAGTAGCACTCAAAGTGAACTCTCATCCATTTTCTTAACACTTTTTTCTTCTCCTAAAGCAACATAATTTAAAGTCAAGCATATATGTCATCGCATACCAAAGTAAATAAAGAAAATCATAAAAATACACAAAATGTCAGGAGGGTGCTCAAGTATAGAGCATCCAATACCAAAGCAGTGCCACATTCAGAGGATAAAATAAATATGGCAGTTTGTCGTCAGCTTTTGTATGCTGATTATTGGTAATCGAGTGAGATTGATAACTGATACTTGGAGTCAATATACATTAAATATAATATTTTACAGGCATGTGACAGCAGAGAACCTGGT